TTAAACAGCCTATTCACACATATGTGTTTATTACAGTGGTTAATAGCCACACAGCCAAACACAGAGTTGTGTTTCCCATAAAGTTGCCGTCCAAATCTATAGAAGCCAATCTGTCCTGATATATATATATATATATATATATATATATATTGAGCATTTTCAACAAACTCATACATATATATATCTATATCTCTGTGTGTGTGTGTGTGTGCGTGCGTGCGCGCGTGTGTGTGTGTGTGTGTGTGTGTGTGTGTGTGTGTGTGTGTGTGTGTGTGTGTGTGTGTGTGTGTGATTGAGTGAGGGGAGGCACAGTAGATCAATGGATATCGGCTTGGATGGAGGTATCGAAAAGTCGAGTTTGAATTCCAATCAATTTTGTCATATTCATTTACGTGAAAATGGTTTGGGAGCACAGCTATGTCTATCTCTCTCCCTCTGTCTATTTTTTCTGTCTGTCTGTCTGTCTCTCTCTCTCTCTCATATATATATATATATATATATATATATATATATATCACCCTGTCATACCAACTTCGAAGTTTCGTAAACGGATAAAATACGTGACATCGACCAGTGATAATTTCTAAATATTGATTCTATAAACGCTCTATCTCTGACCACTTTGCCACAAAGTAAAAGAGACAGACAGACTGACAAAGTCTCTAGGACCAAGTTTGTCCTGATACAAAGTTAAACCGATATATATATATATATATATATATATATATATATATATATATATATATATATATATGACGTCACATATTATGAAATGGAGAAAGTCCGACAATTATTTTAAAACATTTTTATATTATACATTCTTTTTATAGATACAGATATTTAAGTAAATGCTCTGTTTATAATAAACAGTATTAAACAACATTTACCGGCCTGAATATGAGGACGAATATTTTCTGTGAAAATTTCTCGGACATCAGGACATTCAGGTTTAATACTGTTTACAAAAAGCGAAACTAGGTACAAAAATAAAAAACTTTCTAAATAGAACTCATCCTCCCGACTACTCTTTCTCAAAGAACTTAACAACGTTAAACAAACACTAATTAACAACGGTTTCCCTAACTACCTTATAGACCAACAAATTAGACTATTCTCCCCAAAGCAAGTAATAACGATAGCGAACACACAACTAAAAATCACATACACATTTATTACAAAAACCAGATGCATATTAATTACAAACAAGATGAATCTTCTCTAAGACACATTATAAAGAAATATACTACTCCTATTGATCCGAATAAAAAAATCAAACTTATTATCTATTATCAAAATTTAAGACGGCCAACCTTATCCTCAAAAATAACAACACACCAACTAAGTCAAAATTACAAAGAACGAACATTATCTATGAGTTCAAATGCCCTTTAAGGAACTGCGTTTCCTCACCAAACCGGACTCATAAATAATTACATCGGCTACACAACCACATGTTTATCCAGACGTCTTACATTACACCTATCTGATCACAGTTCCATCAGAACACATTTAAACACACACTCAGATTTACCCGACACTATTAGGAACATACTAGTAGAAAACACAAATATATTAACTGCATCCACTTGCAAAAAAAGACTAAAAATAATGGAAGCTCTAATAATAAAAAAGAAAAAGCCAACCCTTAACAATATTAACTATGAACAAAGCCACAATGTGCTAACTGTATTCGGAAACTAAAAACATCACTACCACACACTGAACATACACAGAACACACACACTCTACTAAGCTGATAATTGAATCATCCTTGATAATGGCTAAAGGTATAGCCGAAAGCGCTCGGAAACACAGAACATTCGGACAGTTCTTACACACTCTTTGTCCAGAAAAGAAAGCTCTTGTCAGAACACAAGAAAAATTAAATAAAAAGCTCAACCGTAGTACCTTGTCTGTCGTTTTTAATGAAACATGCATAAAGGAAGGATTGCTGCTAAATATACAATATATATATATATATATATATATATATATATATATATATATATATATTTAGTGAATATACATAATATTCCGATAGCACGACTCGGAGTTTCATGCCGTTATATATATATATATATATATATATATATATATATATATATTAGTGAATATACATAATATTCAATGCCGATAGCACGACTCGGAGTTTCATGCCGTTATATATATATATATATATATATATATATATATATATATATATATATATATATAAGTACGATCATTGCCATTAACTCAAAAACAATCGGGAATATAATTAGGAAGAAAAGAAATTCAACATTAATTCAAATGTTGGTATTTATTAAATAAATCGGTTACAATGTAAAAACGTTTATGTAAGGGAGACATCACGTGATCTAAAAACCTGCATCTACGAACACAAGCTTTCAAACTCTCTATTATTGCACAGGAACAAAACTGGCCATAACTTTGATATTACTAACGCCACCCTAATTGATAAGGAACATAATTCTCTCACATTACTATCCTTTACTGAATATATTCTTAAAAATCTAACATCTGTCCATATGTTCAATCAGTACGTACATAAAAAACATTCTCAGATTAATAGAATACCACCCCACTACGCTGACTATAAAAAAAGAAAATATCAGATCTCTTCCTACTAGACAAATGGACATACACAATTATGAATACACATTATCATCTTATGCTCGCATAGACAAATTAGATTTTTACAAAGTTACGTATAGAATTATCTACGATTTTATTCACGTGATACATGACTGACCAATGAGAATCGAACGACACAAAATTGAAAGTAATAGAATGTTTTTTGTCTGTTTTCTCTCACTCTCTGACGAAGCTTTAATAAAATGTGAAACATGACACACTTAAAATTTTTTCCTATTTCTTCTTTATCTTATCATATATATATGTGTGTGTGTGTGTACGTATGCATGTTCTGTGTAATTTCTGTTTTTATCAAATATATATGCATATAAATATTGAAATAAGTGAAAAAATAATAAAGCGATTTATTATGCATCTAAGTGTATATGTTTGTATTTAAGCCAACACACATTATAACTTATCTTCAAGATACACATTTCTTCTGATAGAATTACAAATATCATTTACCACAAGGTAAGTGTATAAGATATAATTAATGTGTGCACATATTTTATCAGTATTATAATAAAAATGAAAAGTAAAATTTTAAAAATTAAAAATAAAAAATTTAATCAAATTCTAACAACCACACAAACACCACATCGGTTCTTGAACAAAAATAACATAATAAGAACTTCGGACAGTATATTTATTTATTTTCGTCTACCGGCCTCAATAGTCGAGAAATCTTATTAGAGAAAAATATGCGCTCTAGGAGGAACACAGGTTCGAATGTTGCCGGAGATCTCATATTATTTTCTAATAAGATTTCTCTAATATTCAGTCCGGTAGACGAAAATAAATAAAAAAAAAATATACTGTTTAATAAATAAACGGAGCGTCTACTCAGATACTAAAAATAACGTTTAAGTAATAAAATCTATCGGATTAATAAATAAAAATCCATCCCTTTCTTCAGAAATTGCTTTGTTTACGTTAGGATTCGAAACTGAGCAGATATATCTATTTCGAGAGTCAGAGAAAAATCTGTGTTTAAAGGCACTATTCAACTTTGCTCTCCGTACCCGAGTAGTTCAAAGTACGTCAAAGCTAATGAAAACGCATGTTCGAATCCTGCCAGAAAGCGCATATTTTTCTCAAATATTCAGGCCAGTAGACGAAAATAAATAAATATACTGTTTAATAAGTAAACGAAGCGTCTACTGAAATACGAGTATCCACTAAATATTAGGTTTAAGTAATGAATATATATATGATATATATATATATATATATATATATATATATATATATAAATTGAACTGTAGCACATATTTGATTTAAAAGAACTGACCCAACGTGCAAATTTTCGGAATAACAACTGAAACATTACTCTACTTATTGAACTATTTACCACATTGTCTGATAAATTCCTACAACAAAAAATTCTCAAATTGCCATATTAGTAAAAAACGCACTCAATTAAATTTTCAAAAAATTCAACCTAAGCGTTGCGACTGCATGCTCCAAAATTTTGTATCCGTTATCAGTAACACATTTAAAATAAAAAAATAAAAAAGAAAAAAAAAAAGAAAAACATATTTCGATTCGCATTATATTTTTTCGTCTCGGATGCTACCTTTATTTTATCCAAAACAAAATAATTTCCATGCCTGAAGACGACTGAATGTACATATTTAAGAAAGACCTTATTCAGCTTATAATTTTAAAAAGTAAGAATCATAACATTCATCGAGTGATTAGTAGGTTAATGCATTTTTAGCGAAGGGATTTCGCCATTTTATATCATTAATTTTACTAATTTACTTTTTGTTTGAATGATTCATTGTAACATATATATATATATATATAATGAGAAACTTGTAGGGAAAATATGTGCAGTGTGAATCTAATGAGATGCATGATGATGGCTACAATGGCTACAGTAGCATTACCAACCCCTATAAGTTCAAGTGAACAAGACTTGTCCACAGTGACAAGTGTCACGAAGTATGTAGGTCCGTGTTCACCTCTCCATGCCCCGTTCTCTTACTAATGTCAGTTTTCTTCTGAAAGCCCTTCATAAGAAAAAGCTTCGTTTCTCTCGCATGTCAGTCTCGGGCTGTCACAACCTGAGAGTTTGCGAGATCTTGTTCTTAGTTGATGTTTGCACAGACTCTGGTATGCATCTTCGTTGGTCGCTAGCAAAGCACGCTGTCTCACTCTGGTGCATATATTCAGGTGCGCGAGGGTCGTCTGTACGCATGGACGAATTTATGTAATTGCACTACGCTCGCCACCGCCACCAAAAGAGTTGTAAGAATGGCTGCGATGCCTTTGTGTATGCGTTCAGAAGACACAGACCTAGAACATGTTTTATTAAATAGAAAGATTTACTTATGAAGTGAATTAGATTTGTGCTCACATCAGAAGACTTTAAAAATAGACACATGCATAGATATAGAAATATGGACAGAATGACATAGATAGATGGGAAGAAAGAGAGAGAGAGAGAGAGAAAAAAGAGAGGAAGAAAAGAAAACAGCTAAGACATACAAATAGATATGAACAGCTTTATATAGATTTGAACTGACATAGATAGATAGATAGATAGATAGATAGAGATAGATAGATAGATTGAAAGAGAGAGAAAAAGAGAGGAAGAAAAGAAAACAGCTAAGATATACAAATAGATATGAACAGTTTTATATAGATGTGAACTGACATAGATAGATAGATAGATAGATAGATAGATAGATAGATAGATAGATAGATAGATAGATAAATTGAAAGGAAATGAAAAGGATTGAATAGACAAATAGCTATGAACAGACTTATATGTGAAATGATATATGAATAGACTGAGATAGATAGATAGATAGATAGATAGATAGATAGATAGATAGATAGATAGATAGATGAAGAGACTAAGATAGACAATTAGTTATTAACAGGCTGAAAGAGAGAGGTTTATTTGGTAAGTATACTGGTTTACAATCTAATTCGCGGATGGTTAAACTAAATTGTGCCACGCGTTTGAGTAGAAATGGTTTACCTGCCTTGGAAATCAGACTATAAACCTAGCCTTTGCTCCCTCTCGAATATCGAGAAAAGTCGCCAATGGCAAACATATAGCCATATTAGTTGCCAAGCAAATACACAAATAGTTAAACAAATAGATAAGGTATATATTATATAGAGATGAATAAGTTATAAGATAGATAAATTGATGCATCGATGTACTGATAGAGATTAATAGTGTAAGATAAATGGATCGATGACAACCATCCTAGAAAGCCTTGTTCCTTTTATCACAACTGTAAAGAAATCAATAAATATGCTTGATGAAGTTTATTTAATTAATAGCGTGTATAATTAAATCAAGAGGAATGTTTTGGAAGAGATGCTCACATCCCAATAAGTAAATGAATGAATGAATTTGGTTCGTTGAATAAGAGCCCCACCGAATTAGGAATTGAATTTCTTTAAATAAGTTACAGCTTTTTCTGGTTTTACTTAACCCTTCGGCTCTTCATTGGCATCTGTTTCTCTGAAAATGGAATACACATAATACGCATAAGGACACACACAGCTCATGCATACGATACACTGCCAAATGTTCGAGAAACAAGAACTGAGTCGGTAAACCGAATTTAATACGAGCATTTGTCGCATACTTTATTAGTAGTACTTTATGTAAATACCATATATACTCGCGTATCATGCGACTTTTGAATGCATAATTTTTAAGCTAATTTGACTACAGTAAATGGTGATATAGTTTGGTCAACAGCGTAGCCAGGGTCAGCAGTACATATGCTAATTTTATATCTCGTGTATGATGCAACCCCTACTTAAAATTAGCTTCAAAATTAGGTATTCAAAAGTTGCATGATACGCGAGTCTGAAAACAGCTAAAAAGGAAGGAGACAGTGGAAACTATTTTAAAGACTTTTTTCCACGGTCAAATTTCGCAAACGTTTGGGTAGCATCGCTACACGCGCATATAATCGAACACATATGCAGGGTGACCAGTAAAAAAAAAGCGAAAAATTCAGAAAGACGTGAGACATTTTAAAACTGGTGACGACTGATGTGACTGAAAAATTCATAAAGAATTTCTGCACATTTCGTCAGTCCCCACGTCGGATGTTCTTCTTTGAAAAGTACGATAACTTGACGCTCAAAATCAGTGAGTTGTTTAACCATACGAGAAGGGCAGAACGGAAGACGAATGCTGTCTGCTATAACCTTAAAAGATGAGTAACAAGATCAAGCAACAATTAATCAAGGACCAATCAGAGTTAAGTAATTACACGAGAGTCGAATGGTTATTCAAGATCATAAATATTCAAGAAATTTATTCAAGGTTATTCAAGGTCAATTATTATTGAAAAATAAACAGTAACAATAAATTTTCCGCTTTTTTACTGGGCACCCTGTATATGTCAGCGAAGTTTAACAAATGGAGCCGAAAGAAATTGTCAAAAGGACGGTTTTCTCTTGACACCACTATTACTGTATGTTCCTTCTGCAATGTTTGTATTGATTTAAAAAGCTGAAATTTAATAAAACCCAAGAAAAATATTTATTTTATAAAATATTTATTTTCTTTTTTTCTCGAGAATTGAAAACAAAAGTAATAAACACTATCCTTGTAAATAAGCAAACTAATAGATAACATTTAATAACAATGTTTAACCTTTTTGTGGTCATTTTTCGAGAAGAGCAAATGAACATCCAGAACCTCGCAATCAATTTTAATAAATTTATTTATACCAAATGAAAGAAAGACCCGAAAAATGCTTTTTTCCCAAAATTATAATTCCAGTTACTTGCCCTTATGCGTTCATTTAAATTTTCTTCTCAGACATTTTTAGAAATTTGTAAAATAAAAAATATTTTCATAGTTATGTCTTTATAATATGGTAAATAATAAATATACATTGTTATTGGTTCACATATTTTTATAAATTTGTAAATATAAAATTATTCTTGTAAATAAACAATCTTTTTTTTTAATCATTTCACCTGAAGCAGGGCGGGATGCCACTAGCACGCAAGGTGTTACAGAGAGTTGAAGCGAGGGTAAAGAGACATGATAGAGGAAAGGATGAAGAGAAAGGCTGGGAATAGATCAAGGCATCTGGAGATGTCGGTTGACATTACATTTGAATAGTTGAAACAAGTAATAGGAAGGGAGGTGCGAGTCATGAAGCTATTGGAGTAGAAGAGACGGCTACATTTAACCGTTTCGACATTGACAGGATGGGACCTAAATGCCAGCCTAGTAGCACGTTTAAATTCATGCAGTCTGGCAACTAATAAAATAAATAATGTTTAATACTTTTATTGTGAATTTTCAAGAAAAATGGGAATGTATAATCCTGTTCTATATATTTGGGGTTTATTAAAATTATAAAAATGACTTTTTAAAAAATAAATATAGCCGAGGGGATATACAGTAATAGTGTCAAAATAAAAACTGTCCTTGAGAAGATTGATTTGTTTTTTATTGTTTATCAATCTGTTGCAGATTATTTAAAGCCAGAAAATACTTTTAGACTGTAATAATTGATGGGAGATAATAATGACTTTGTCGATACTAATTAACCCATAACTGGAGAAGAGGAGGTGGATTCATACCTTTCTTAATGGTATTTACGCGTAAGTGAATATAACGAACCCAACTGGAATTAGACCTTGGTTCTCCGATTCTTATTTCCGAGCCGTTATCTGTTACATCACTCGCACATCCAAGATTAAAGTATTTGGTATTTCCAAACAGTCACCCATCTAGATACTGACCATGGTCGACGTAGCTTTCAATGTGTTATGACCGTAAGCTATATTTTCTTCTGTTTGAATTATACATTACTAGACACATATATTTCAAGATTGGATTAGCAATGATATCGCAACAATCAACCTCTTTGATAAGAGATTGACTGTTGTGGTGTATCTAATTGTTTCTTTTACGCCCGCCTTGAAAATTTTGGGTATTTTCCAACTTTGGCTCCTAGATACATTGCTATAATGCACGAGTTGTTACTTGAAGCTAATATAATATGCAGAGGATTCCACACTATACAGACATATTGAAGTAATAGTAGTAGTAGTAGTATTTGTAGTAGTAGTAGTAGTAGTAATAGTAGCATGTCCCATGGACTCTACTGTGGAACATAAAGTCATAGCCTCACTTCGCTCGGCCTTGCTGCTCTGATTTCTGTAGCTAGTAATTTTTTATGGGATAGAGGTGCTAGTCCCACGTCCAATCGGCTTTGGCTGTTGTTTTTCTCTTATACAGGTTGCCAACCAAGGCTAGAGAAGGGAGAGATGCGGATGTGATCGTACGAGAACAGGTGTTTCAAAGTGATTCAGCATGTTTGAGTAGATGTTTTTTTTATCAAAATGTTCTAACAAGTAATGTGCATTTCTCAAAAAGAGTAAATCAGCATTCCTTTGCTGTAAGAAGAGAGTTAAAGCAACGGAAATGTGGTTCTACAGAAGGATGCTGAGAATGCCATGATATTGAACATGTGAGTAATTGCGAAGTTTTAGAGAAAATGGAAACTGAATGTTAGAAATTTTGAGGACACAAAATGAAGGACAGGACATTGATACTGACAGGCCATATTGACAGTCCTGTACGATAAAATACACCCGACAGCACAGACCTCTGATCGGGAGATTGTAAGTTTTGAGGAGCCTGGAACCCCCTATTACTTTTTGTTCCCATGCCCATCCTGACCCCGTGTGGTAGCATCTGTTAAGGTCGCAGTTATAGACAAATAGTTAAACCCCAAACAAAACACTATGAAAGTATAAAAATACATTTTATTAATAAAATAGCAACAATACATTTATATATATATATAAAATGACCAATACATTTTACAGTAGAATTACCAACAATAAAATTTATAGCAAAATGACCAACAATACATTTTCTGTAGTTGAAGGCATACAATTGTGTTGAAAATATTTAGGCTTTGGCATTAATTAACCCATAGAGGTTGATATGCTGCTAAAGAAAATCAACAAGAACATATTGAAGGCATGAGAGAGAGAAAAAAGTAGCGTGTAACATATTTGAGTAAATGGATGGAGGAACAAAATTGAGGAAAGATAACAAAAAAAATCTTGTTGGCAGAACAAGGAATAGGAGAGATAGCGAAAAGACAAAATCTATTACGAGCTACAAAGGAGAGAAAATTGTGGAGAACAATGATCGCCCACGTCCTGGAAGGACACAGCACATAGAAGAAGAAGAATATGAAATTTAAAACTGAAAAGCTACATGACAGTCAATGAACCTTACATAATAAACTTAAATGATTGTACGTCTAAGTACAATGAAACGAATGGCCTTTGACCAGACATGCCTAAATTAAAGTAAACCATTACTAACTGACAACAGACAAAATTTTATGTGTCAAATAACATTAATATATTTACTTTACTTTAAGTACGACGTCACCATATTGATTATAATAAAAGAAGTCTATTGACGCCAATACTTTTATTTATTTGATTCCGTGAGCACAATAAAAATTCTAAAATAAAATAAAAATTGTGTTCTTCCAAGGCAAGAAATAGTTTATTTTCAAAATGACTATTAGAAAGAAAAAAAAATAAGAACGAAACTGAGATTTTAATTTTGAATTGACGCATTCAGTCTGGTTGGCGAATTTTTAATTTTAGATACAAACAATATAAGATAGTTGCGACATCAGTATAAAATTGTTTGCGGGGAGTTTTGCATAAGAACTTTTGATATTATAGAGAATTCATTTTGTAATTTGTCTGATTCATCCAAAGGAAATTATGTTCAAGCAATATATGTCCTATCCTTAGTAACGTTAATACCAGAGTCTGATATTTCTCGCATGCTTTTATGTGACGTAAATATCTTCATCTCGTGGTT